CTAGTGGAAGATGACCCTGCCAACAGCAGAGGGGTTGGACTAGGTGATCTTTGACGGTTCCTTCCAACCCAAAGCATTCTGTGATTCTACAATTCTATGAAAGCAGGAGATATCTGCAAGATTAGGATACAGGATTAAATATTCTATTGAACCTCTTTCCTCTAATCTAGCTAATACAGTTTGCAGTTCTGAGAACTTTATATTCTTGGTATCAGCATTAAATTATATCACTTGTTGTACTGACCCAAGGACTGAACTTTCATTGTTCTCATGCTAATAGGATGCATGAGAAAGTGTCTCTCACTTGGAGCCACCTCTGAAATGGCCCTGGAAGTGGCACTAACTGCACAAATTTGTTTCTGAAGCAATTAAGTCATTTTGAGACTACAGTGCTCCACAAAAATGTGTTTTATGTGACTGGACAAAAACTGTTCAGTTCTAGTCACTTATTTGAAAGTCTGTCTTTCTTTCTTCCTCCATCTTACCATCTTCTTAGATGTTCACATACCGACTACATACCATAACTAATTATGACGTGTTGTAGGTCCTTCAATAAATGTTGCACTATAGCTACTCAATTGATTTTTAATCAAGGTTTGCTCAGCATGCAACAGTGCATCGACTATAATTCCACTGGGATGGTCACGCACTATACAAAACACTTTTGTCTAGACTACTGGCATGTTTTCCAAATCCTCTGCCAGAAGAAAAACCTATCAAGTCAATCTATGAATGCAGGTATGACTATATCATTTGTACCCCACTTTGGACACACATGGACAATCCAGAGCCTAGATGCATTTTGAAGCTCTGATTTTAAGCCAGAAATGAAACATTTTACAAATCTCTATCAGTATTTAAATGTCAAGGGAAAAATACGGCTTGTTGTTGAAAAACAAAAAAACAAACAAACAGAAAGAATCACAGTTAATTCCCCTACTCTTGTTGCACATGGTTGAGCTGTAGACGAGTTGAAGTCAGTTCTTCCTGCAGCTCTTGCAGTTGAAAAGTCTGACTGCTGGCCAGCTCTCTCAGCTGCCTCTCTCTCTCAAATGAATCCTACAACGAAACACAAAATCACGCTGCTTGAATGTTCTACCTTACAGAATCCTCCAGCAATGTAGTATAGCATTATTAGCAGATGTGTTTCTAAACATTTCAGTAAAGACCATTTCTAAAGTAATTGAAAACAAAAGCAATTGCATACCTTCTAGAGACATAAGCAGTACCTTCCAGGCACACAAAACAAAGACTCAATTATATTAGGAAAAATATTCACTTCATTTACACCTTATGACAGAGAATATGGAAGGTCTGCATATGCAGATTTACTACCTGTATACACATCATTTGAACAAAGTGTTCTTGCAGATGTGTTGCATGGGGGTTTTTCCAGTCATCTTCTGACTGACTATATCACCAACTCAAGTTTTTGGGAATTCACGTACACAAAATAACAGAAAAAGTTATTAGAACAGAGGAGGCAACTATTGTCATTCCAGAAAGCACACTACTACACATGCAGCTCTGTCTTTAATAACCTATAGATTTGCCAGATACTACCGGAATTAAATAAGTAACGGTGCAACAGGCTTTTCTTTAAATTTTGAATGCCATGTGCAATGACAAATCCATAACTGGTGTACTGTCATTTAATAACATCATTATTTTACATTTCGGGGTTTTTTGGCAGAACCCTACTCCTGCAATACACTAGAATCTGACTCTTAAAGGATATCACTTTCCATTTGTCCTTATTTTAACTGTGAAAGATTTTGACAGAAGAGGTGTAAAAATGAGAAGACAGAGAACATGGAGACATCACTGTCGAATCTCAAGATCTTCAATATTTTCTCCTAGTCTGCATCAACCAACGGTCTTATTTTCTTTCAAAGCACAAAGCCACAGCAGATCTGTCTTTCCTGCCAAACTGTTAGTACTACAACACCTTCAGTAAATATCAAATACATACTAACTCCAAACATCAAGTCAGGCACATGGTGGTATTATGATGGACATGAGCACTTCCCCCCCCCCGCCTTCTGGAAATATTATAATGCTCAGATACTAAACAAAGATTTTTTTTTTTTTAAATAAAAGTAGATCAAAGATAAATGCATGGAGTTTATACACACCTTCAGCTTACACATGTATTTTCACATAGTGTTAGGTTTTTACTAATAGAGCTATGGCATAAATACTTCTATGATGTCTTTGCAAATGTAAATGTAGCATAATTCTTTACCTAGGAAAGGAAAACAGCACAAGAACATGCTTCTCTTACAAAGCAAATTCCTCCATATTATCACTCATTGTTGCGAAACAGCATAAGGAAGGCCAAAAGTAACTTTAATGACCTCTTTGATTTCTCTTTCAAAGGAAACTTAAGATGAGACAGAGAAATAGCATAGTTGTCTCCACAAGCAACTAAGGACATATTTCATTAAGCAAAATCAGAGAGGGAGGCTATTATTAACAGAAAGTCATTAAAGCCCTCCTGCAGGTATAAATCCACACTGGTTTATTCCCTTAAAATAAATTTCCTACATACCTGAGTGAGAGAGAGGTTGGTTTCAAAGAGCCTTCCTGAAGTAGCACAGGAAAAACAAGTCCCTAGCCATGGCAGGAGACGAGTTTTTATTGTTTCCACACCTGCATAATGCCCACCTAAGAAAATACATACATTAAGAAATTGTGAGAACACTTACAGAAAGAGACAGAGCTTGAAAAGATGACACATGTGAAATGTGTTAGTAATAAGACAAGGCACTGATTTACCTTCTTGAGATGTTTCATTGAGGATTGTGAAGAGCTGCCCTTGAATCTGAGAGTTCAATTCTATTATTTCACAGCATCGGTTCAGATTCTGATCACAGGAATTAATCTGTAAATTAATATGTATTAATACATTTGCCTGGTCTTTCTTACTTAAAGTGATTCCTGTTATGATCATGACTTTTTTTTTTTCCTATAATTACATCTTCACAAGTGTTTCTTACTGCATCTGTCAGAATACTCATGTTTAAAAGGTTCACATTGTTAATAGGTAAACAAACAAGACATTAGGACTTCTATCACCCAGTTAATTCACCACTAGAGCAAACTTACTCCTTTCCCCATTCATAAAGAAGATACAACCACAAATATCTCTAAAAGAAGAAGCATAATAATTGTTGATCTGTGTTAAAATCTTTCACCACAGAGTTTTTAAAATAAGATAGGAGATTGTTGGATGAAAAAATGTATTAGTCCAAAATCTGATTTTCCATATTAGCTGAAATAATACATATAAGGCTATTACCTCGATTTGTCAACAGCCACATGAGGCCTCCGTGCAATTTCATCTGATTTTTAAGAGTTACCAACTGAAACAAATACTACTGAAGAATGGGCAAAATCCAGCATTATGCCTAGGAAACAACAGAACAGCAAAACTACACCACTTTCAGCAAATGCAATTCTGAAAAGGAGTTGATGGGGTTAATCTGTCCAGGATGCTACTGCACCTGCCAGGAAAACACATACTTTGTACCTGCTTCCTTAATCTTTATCCATAACCTGTGTATCATCTTCAACAGAGATCACCCTCTAGGTCTTCAGGCTTTAATGGCTCCATATGGTTTTTACAAGCTTCCAAAACAGCTAAAACTCCCACCCATGCCCCTGTCAGCTTGCATTTTGATTGCTGCAACATGCTTTCCTCTGGCCTCAAGGAGCAGTCTCACCCTGCTAACCTTCACCAGAACACCACTTTTGCAGTGGTGCATTTTTCCAGCTCATTACACTGACATAACACCCGTGGTGCTTCCATCTGCCAGCTCCTCCTTTGCTGCAACGGCAGCCTGAGGCTGCTCATCTATATTTCCCAAGACCTTGCAGACTACCCTCACCTCACTTCTTACGGGGAGTTCAGCTCCCGCTATTGCTCAGCCCCCCCGAGGTCTACCTCCACATCCATTTGGAAGATTTTAAAATTAGTTCCTCTCTTCTTCCTCCTCTGGTGTCCTGCACTCTGTGGTAGCTGTATAAGCTACCCTAAAACTCCTTAAAACCATCCTTTGCCATGAATCAGAGAATCATAGAACAGTTTGGGTTGGAAGGGACCTCTAAAGGTCATCTAGTCCAACCCCCCTGCTGTGGGCAGGGACATCTTCAACTAGATCAGGCTGCTCAGAGCCCCCTCCAACCTGACCTTGAATGTTTCCATTCCCATGCCCCAGGGATGCGGCATCCACCACCTCTCTGGGCAACCTGTTCCAGCGTTTCACCACCCTCAGAGTAAAAAATTTCTTCCTTATATCTAGTCTA